CAAATGCAATGAAAAAGTTCGTCCAGGTATATACTTAGCATTGTCGTTTTACCTACATATGCTATTCTTGGGGGGAAAATTCGTTGATTTAAAAAATGTTCATTATTCAATTTTATAGTTGTATTTGTTTAGAGAAGTTTCAGAAATATATGTAGCAGGGGGTGGGGGGAAGTCCTTCCTCTTACATCTTTGAGTCATGCAGGCCCTCTAAAAAGTTGGGCTATGTCAGCCAGGTCCATGAATGGTCCATCAGGAAGGCTGGGGAAAGGAGCAGTTCATGGATCAAGCTCAAGGACGTTACAAAGAAACTGAAAATTATGCTGTTCATGAGTCATCAACACAAGTTACCCTCTCGTAAAGTATATATTTCATAGGCAAATGGCATTATTTTTGCAGAAGTTATACATTATGCTGGCAATACATCAAGGAGCACATGTGGGAGCTACTGCCACAAGACACACATAGGAGCAGCTGTGTGTGCTTGTCTGACATGATTTCTGGCAATGAAAAAACTAAAGAGAAAACATACTGCCATTTGCACATAATAGTATATAACTGTCCCTTGGTATCTAGGGGAGATTGTTTCCAGCACCCACCTTCCCCAGATATCCAAATCTGCAGATACTCAAGTCCCTTGTATAATGGCACAGTATTTGCCTATAAGCTACACAGCGCTCCTATGTACTTCAAATCATCTTTAGACTACTTTTAATACCTAACACAATGCCCACACATCACTTCATTCATATGGATTCTGCACAGCATTCAGTACATGGCAAACTGAGGTTTTGCTTTTGGAAACTTTCCAGAATAAAAAAGTACTTTAAATCCATGGTTGGTCGAATCTGCGAAAACTGAACTCACAGATAAAGAGGGCCAACTACAATTAAATATAATTCTAAAGGTGTCCCAAGTGAAGGAATCAAAAACCTAGGATGAGAAGAGCTGATCAGCTGTGGTCTTACCTACGTCCTCATTGTCTGCTAAATGCATGGTTGCTCAAACATCCTTATTTTCCAAACACAATTTTCCTGGTAAAATTGTTTTTATCAAGGGAAGTGTGAAATATTCTTTAAAACTCTGGATAGATATCTAAACTGTCACTGTTGTGCTTTATCATCCTCCAGCAAGTGGCTATTCTGCAAAGGTAGTCCTAGAGCCTAGAGACTTCTCTGACAGTGTATGGGAAACCAGCCAACACACAGGTTGTCTTCCCCACTGAGCACACACCACACTCAAGGACAGGAATGCATCTACAGAATTACTAGGCTGAGAAGTTTCTAAGACTTGCTTTAATTTTAACAAGGCTGAAGCCTAGGAAGATTTGTTGGGTACCTACAGCTGCTGCTGTACCCCAGTGGTATCTGCTTGGCTCTTCCCTTCCTAGCCCACAACTGCTGGTCTTGCTGGTTCTATGGCCCTAGAACCAGGTGGGCTTCAGCCACTTCATCTGAGGCTGCAAATGGTCCACCAGGGTGTGACTGCCACACAGACTGACCACAGCGGTGATTGCAAGCTGCTCTTGTAAAGCTAGACAGCCCATAGGGGTGGGAAGGATCCCTCCTAAGACTCCTAAACTATAAGATGAAGAAAGCAATGATGCTCTTGCAACTGCAGGTGCTAATGTGAATCACCTATGAATCTACCCCCAACCCCTAGCAGTCTGTTAGCTAACGGGGAAGAGCATGTATAGCTGCCAGAAAACAGTGTGCCTGTAGATGAATGTTCTGCTTCTTTTGAGTTCCTCCAGGTGGATGATGGAATGGGATCCCCCCATTTCTCTGCCCCCGACTGGCTCTGTTATGGAAGATCTGTTTGTTGCCTGTCTATTTCAGTACAATGAACATAACAGCCTAGGAGTCCAGCAACAAGGGCTTCCTTTTTTTCACACTGCTTCCCAAGGAAGGAGGATTCCAACTCATGAGTTTTACTAATAAGATGTAAAAAAAACTTATCACCCCATTTCAAAAGCAAATAAACAAGTAATAAAGATGCTCAAAGCAAAATGTTCTGGTGTTGGAGATCCTCACCAAACAAAGGCAGAACTAACAAAGTTGTCCATAAACTAAGCTATATCTCTGCTCTGCTTCCCGGTCTCAGGAGTTAGGTGCTCAGTGTGAAGATGCCAGCTGCCAAAGCAGCCAAGCAACGCTCGTAGTGGGGTGACTGTTCTCTACCAAATTTCTTCCTGGGGCCTTTGCTTCTTCCAGGAAGCCCAGCTGCAGTCATTTCACGCATCCTACTTTTAGATCAAGAAGCCAGAGAATGAGAAAGACAATGCTACCTAGCTCAGAGGCCCCTGAACCCCCATCCCAGAGCGCTGGAGAGGCAAGTTGCTTTCTTAGAGTTGTCCAATAAGCTTGGAAACAAACCCAGACTTCTTGATTCTGCAGCTCATTTATCTCAAGCACCAAATGGCCAATTACTAAATGGTTCCACAGGGATTTCTGACAGCACGTATAGAGGAAGTGAGTGCTCAGGTGAAGCCCAAGGCAAGGCCAAGTCTTTAGGAAGCCTCTGATATTCCATGAGCAGGTTTTCCTAAAGAGGAGCAGAAGGGCTGCTGCCCAGAAGCGAGAGGTGGGTCCGTCAGATGCAGGCTTCCCTGGTGGCAGCTGTGCCATCTGGACGACTCCTCTGTTTTCAAGTTTCATTAGTGTAAAATGAATTTAATAATACCCCCCTCACTCTTTAGTGGGAAGTTGCAAGAATCAAACAACAACATTGATTAAGAAGGTGGTTTGAAGAAATAATGTACAATAGGAATTTAACAAATTATATGAATCAGAGGAACTCAGAGCAACCACAAAAAGAAATTTTGGGGTAAAATTTTTAATCTAGACTTGGTAACAGTGATGGATGCCAAAGAATTTATACACATTTTCTTAGATATAATAATGGCACCACAGACATTTAATGTCTTTAGAGATCACACTGAATTATGTAGGGATAAAATGTCACGATGTCGGGTATTTGCTTTAAAATACATCAATGGAAAAAGGAGGAAGAGCACAGATTTATGTGCAGCAAATGCTGATAACAGCTGAAGCTCACCGAGATGTATGTGGGGGTCCATTCTACCCTCCTCTCTACTTTAGTGCATATTTGAAATTTTTCAGATTCAAAAAGCATTTAAATAAACAATGCAGAATTTTCTGGGACATTAGTCAGCTTTCTGATTGTCACGTCCAGAGCACAGAAAATCTGTTTCCTCCACAAGGCCCTTTCAAAGTGGTCATCCAGAGGTCAGAGGGCAAGGACTTGGGAAGAGGCCAGGAGAGGCCAGGCAAGGAGCCCAGCTGCAGAGGAGATAAAAGGAAGTATCCTCCTAGAATCCCCTATCTGGGAAGCATCAAAATGTCAGGCAAAGTGTAAGGGTAAGTGCATGCCTTGCCTTGGACCTGAGTTTCATATTTATCTTTTGCCACCAAGACACTGTTTAGCACAGTCACAGAGGACAAGCAAACACACACACACACACACACACACACACACACACACCACTGAGATCCAACCCCCTGGGGGAGAGCTACCTGGGACCCACAGGATGCATGCATTTTTGCCATGGGTTTGATGGACATCTCAGGGGCTAAGGTCTAGGAAGGGGAAAGGGCAAAGGCAGGCAAGGAGATTAAAATTTTATCCAAGGCAGGGTCTGGTGAGTCAGGCGTTTATCTGGGAACTGACCAGAGCAATGAACTCTTATCTTCCATCCTAAGCCCCATTCCTGGCCACTAAGTATTAGATACCAGAAATAACCTAATGGATTTCCCCGAAGACCACAAAAGGGCTTTGGGTGCTCTAAGACAGACAGGGTAGCAGTGGTCTAAGGGAGCGCCCTGGAAAAAGGGTTGTGGGTTTGAGTTCCCACGCTGACTAACCCAGTGGCCTTCAGCTTCGGTACTTTTCCTTCTCTGCAAAAAGTAATGGTTGGGCTGATTTTACCTCCTCAGCTGCAAGATTTGGGGGCATGTTTCTGGCTGTCATGCATCTCCCCTCTCATCACGACTTAAAGTTTCCTAAGCATATTGAGTAACTCAGTCCCCCCCCCCAACCCCGCCCGGTGTTCTGCTGCTTGCCCCTCGCCTTGCTCTCCTCCACCGCGACACCTCGGGCAGGGAGCTACACCGGAGTGCTGGCAGATTTTGACCAAGGAGGGGAGGCAGGGTGGGCAAAGCGCCTGCGTGAAAGTTGTGGGCATAGGGGACCGCGGGACTAATCACTTCAGATTGGGGTTCGCTCTACCCCGGGGAGATCTTGCACGCACCACCGTGGCTCGATGTTCCCTCGGTGATAAAGCGGGAGAGGTTCCGGGTCCCCAGACGAGCCAGGGAGAGAGACTTCCAAGTGGGGACCGCGCGTCTCCAAAGGCCGGGCTCGGGTTGCTCTGGCGCTCAGCCTTCCCGAACGCGGGGAAGAAAACCCAATTCCAGGCGGTGCGCTCTGGGGCTGCTGGGTGCAGCCCCAGTGGTCCCCACCCCCACGCCATCTCGTCGCTGCGCGTTCACATGCCCAAAGCCACAGCTCCGGGGAACTCCTGCGTGGCCCTGCCCTCCCACCCCTGAGAGCGCTCCACATCTCAAAAGCCAAAACTCCGGTCACAGTCGCAGTCCCCAACGTCGCTGTCCCCACGCTGCACCCTTTGGGGCACCCAGCGCGCAACGAGGCTCCACGGGCTGCGCCCTGCCGGGCCACAGGAGCTCCAGTCTAGCAGGGAGCCGAGCTCCGGGGCGCGCCAGCCGCAGCGCCTCCCCCGGCCCGGGCGAGGTGGGGCTGGCTGGGCGGGGCCCCGGCGTCGGAGGGGACTCGCCAGCTTGCACGTCCTCGCGCGCTCCCCGCAAGGAGCCTTCGCTCAGCGGGTGCCCACCGCTCAGGTCCCGGGAATCCGGACTTGGGCGGAGGGGCGGCCCGGTGGGGAGCCGAGCCTGGAGACCCCCGGGGACGCCCCAGCTTTCCCTCGAACCGCCGTGGGAAGGGTGGCGCGGGACGCGCGCTCTTACTTGGCAGCAGGGGTCCGCTGTGGCCGGGCCGGGACTGGGCTCTCCACGGTGGCCCCTCTCCGCTCCCGTCGCCGCAGCTGCAGGCAGGGTTCTCCGGCCGTTCAGGAGAGCGAAGGCGAGCCCCAGCCCAGGGAGCCGCGCGCCGGAGTCGCGGCTCCGCTCTTTCCCCCGAACTTTTAAGCCAAATCGGGCGGCAAACCCCTCCCTGGACCCACCCCCTTGGCCGACTACGGTCACAGCCACAGGCCGGGCCTCCAGCCCCCTTTGTTGTAATTCGAGAGCGGCCACTGCCGGGCCAGAGGGGGCTCTGCGGGGGAGGCTGCGCGCCAGCCAGCGGGGCAGCCCTTCCCAGGCTCTTTGCGCCCAGGTTTCCGGAGTCGGAGGAGCGGGCGGGAAAAGGGTGCACTTTTCCGGCAGGGGAGACTCCCAATCCCGACCCCACAGCGCTCCTGAATTTAACCCTTCGATGTCCCCATTTACCAGTATCATCCAGTTCCATATCCAAAACCCTAGCCCTCCCTGGCACTTAGTAGACGCTCAATAAAAAGTAAGGCATGAAAGTGATCACAGATTTTCATCTATCTCGCTTGGGTTTCACTTCCCTTCACCTGTAGGTGGAAACAGATTCCGAACATGAAAACAAACAGCCTCCTTTCTGCCAGCAGACCACATCTGAGTCTTGGCCTAGTCTCTCTTCTCTCAGGACCAGTCTTCTCCTTTGCAAATTAAAGGCTTTGGATCCTGTGACCTCTAAGTCTCCCCCCCACACACATATCCCCACTGCTGCACCAGGCCCCAGATTAACAAGCCCTGCACTCCAGAAATTGAAGGAGACACAGCTAGGGGGTGGACATGGTGCAGAAGGACATAACATGTCTGGCTCTGAGGTTTGCAGTGGGGCTCTCTCCTAAGGCCAGGGAAAGCCCTCTGTACAGATTGCCCTTCCTGCAAGAGCAAGGCTTTGCCTGTGGAAGCAGCCAGTTCTAAAACAAAGGACCAGCTGGGGGTCCTCTGTAAGAAGGGAACTGTCAGCTCTTCTAGGACAGACACTGACTTTAGGGTGGCAATCCTCTCAGGACTCCTCCTCAGTCCTCTCCTCTTCCCTGTGCCCTAGGCAGAGCTCTACACCAGCGGTGACAGGTGGTGAGTACCAGGTTTCCCCTCCCACCCAGGCTTCTCTCCTCAGTCATGGGATTGCAAATCCATCCGCCATTTAACACCAGGACATTTCCTCCTTGGCCTCTGGACATTCCCATGACCATGGCCAACTCCAAACTTGGCACCCCAACTCAAGCCCACTCCAACCCCTGAGAGATCTCAGAGGCAAAAATGGGGGCTTCTCAGGCCCCTTGAGATTTGAATTAGCCAGGGGTCTCACAGACAGAGGACCAGTAGAAGAGGGGGTGTGATCATAAGAAGTCAAGGGGAGATGTGTTTGTGGTGTAGGAACAGTTCAGTATCTCAAGTGTGGCAAGAAACTATGATAGAATTATGTAGAACTTACTACACCCAATACAATTTCAGTTGAAAATTAAAACACAAAACAACAACAAAATACACAGTAGTTCCAGGGTCCTCAGAATGCAATCCAAACCTGTTGGTGCAACTGAAAAAGTGACTTGGTCATTCCCAACATACCTGTCTCTCAACTGCACACTCCTCACTGCTGTTGGCCTTCCTTGCTGTCCTCTAGTACCTGCTGTTTCATCCCCAGGACCTTTGACCATACCATTGCCTTGTTGGTTGTCTGCCTAACAACACCTAGTTCTTTGAGATGTCACTCAACTATCACTGTCAACATTTTGTACAGTGCCTGCACACAGCAAATGCTCAATAAATGCTGGTGGAACTGAGCTCTCTCCTCTTCCCTCTCCCTTTTCTCCCATCCCTCCACAACCAGTCCAAACCCTCTTGCTAAAGCATTAACTAATAAGATATAAAATGAAAGGAAACCAACTTTGAAAACTGTTTTGTCTAGTTCTGACAAAAAGCAAGCTTCTTGTGAAATAATTAGAACATATGAAATTGTAGTTGCTGGATCCTATGGTAACTCTACTTTTCATTTTATGAGATAGGAAATGATGGTTTTTTTTTAAGAGAGAGAGAGAGAGAGAGAGAGAGAATTTTTTAATATTTATTTTTTAATTTTAGGCAGACACAACATCTTTGTTTGTATGTGGTGCTGAGGATTGAACCTGGGCCGCCCGTATGCCAGGCGAGCGCGCTACTGCTTGAGCCACATCCCCAGCCCGGAAATGATGTTTCGATACATGGATACATTGTTGAATTATCAAATCAGGGTTTCCATCACCTTACACATATTTCATTAATTTGGGGCAGGAACATTCAAAATCCTCTTCTCTTTTGAAATATACAACACATTATTGATAACTAGTCACACTACTGTGCATAGAACACAAGAACTTGTTCCTCCAATCTAACCCTAGCATTGTGCCCATTGACCACCCCCTCTCCATCTCCCTTTCCCCTGCCCTCTGCAGGTCTGGTAACCACTATTCTATCCTGTTTTAATGAGATAACATTTTTATGTTTTACACAAGAGTGAGATGATGTGGTATTTGTCTTGCTGTGCCTTGCTTATTTCACTTAACACAGGGTCCTCCAGGTTCCTGCATGTTGTCACAAATAACGAGATCACTGTGTGTGTGTGTGTGTGTGTGTGTGTGTGTGATTGTTAAGAAATGTCCCCTGAAAAGATCATGTTTTGGGCTGGGGATGTGGCTCAAGCAGTAGCGTGCTTGCCTGGCATGCGTGCGGCCCGGGTTTGATCCTCAGCACCATATACAAACAAAGATGTTGTGTCCGCCAAAAACTTAAAAATAAATATTAAAAAAAAATTTCTCTCTCTCTCTTTCTCTAAAAAAAAAAAAAAAAAAAAAATCATGTTTTTAAAGCATGGTCCCCAATGCAGGAAGGTTCAGGTGGGGCCTTTAGGCAATGATCAGAGCTCTAACCTCATCAGTGGATTAATCCACTTGGTGGATAAATAACTTAATAGACTACTGAATTTACCATGTACCACTGTGGACTGGACAGAACTGGAGGATATGCTCTTGGATACTAAACCTTGTCTCTGGATACTAAACCTTGTCTCTGGTTCCTTGAGCACGCATACTCATTCATATTCCCCCCCCCCTTTCTCTCTGACTCCCTCCCTCTGTCTCTCCCTCTCTCTCCTTTCTGGCTACCATGAGCTGAATTGTCTTCCTCCTCCATGCCCTTCCACCATGATGTTCTGCTTCACCTCAGTCCAGAGTAATGGAATTGACCAGCCATGGACCGAGAGCTCTGATCCATGTATCAAAACGTTATTTTGTATCTCATATCTACCATGAGCCCCAAATAAACATTTTCTCCTCCAAGTTGTTCTCATCAGGCATTTTGGTCACAGTGATGAAAAGCTGACTGACACAGTGTTTCTATTGTGTATCACATTTTCTTCCTACATCTGTGTCCATCTGTTGGCGGACACTTCAGTTGATGATATATTTTGGCCATTGTGAATAGTGCTGCGGTAAAGATGGAAGTGCAGATGTCTCCTCAACATACTGATTTCATTTCCTTTGGATGTATACACAGTATTGTGGTTGCTGGATCCTATGGTGGTTCTACTTTTAATTTTTGGAGAAATCCTCATACTGTTTTCCACAGTGACTATACTAATTTACATTCCCACCAAACAGTGTGAATCTATACATTGTTTTGGACAATATGGATATTACTACTGTAATATTAATTTTTGCAATTCATGAATATAGGATGTCTTTCCATTATTTGTGTTCTCTTTAAATTTTTTCGTAAGTATTTTATATTTTGGGCATAGAGTTCCTTTATTTCCTAGTTAAATTTATTCGTAAGTATTTTATTTGTTTTTGCAGCTATTGTAACTGGATTGTTTTCTTAATTTCTGTTTCAGTTAATTTGCAATTGGCAAGAATAAATGATACTGTTTCTTGTATGTTGACTTTGCATCCTATAATTTTACGGAATTGATTTATTAGTTTTAACAGGTTTTTGGTGGAGTCATTAGGCTTCTTATGCCGTAATTTAGCGCCTTTGTGTTCAATTTGGATGTCTTTTATTTCTTTCTCTCACCCAATTGCCCTGGTGAGGCCTTCCATGACTGTGTTGAATGGAAGAGATGAAAGCAGACATCCCAAGTTTAAAGGAAAAGTTCTTGACTTTTCCCTGTTCAGTGTGATGTCACCTGTGAATTACTTATACGTGTCTTTGTGGTGTTAAGCTACATTCATTCTATGCTTAATTTGTTGAACGTTTTTATCATGAAGAACTTTTGGATTTAATCAAATTTTCTTTTGCATATGGAGATGATCATATGATTTTATCCTTCCATCTGTTAATGTGAGGTACCATGTTTATTGATTTGCCTATGTCAAACCATCCTTGCATCTTTGAAGTGAATCACAATTGATCATATAATGATCTTTTAAATGTGCTGTTGGCTAATATTTTGTTGAATTTTTTCTATCTATATCCATCAAGGATTCTGGTTTGTAGTTTTCTTATTCTGTTGTGTCCTTGTCTGGTTTTGGTATCTGGGTTATTCTGGCCTTGTTGAATGAGTTTGGAAGAATTTCTCCTCTTTAATTTTCTGGAATAGTCCAAGAAGTTTTGATATCAGTTCTTTAAGCTTTTAGTAGGTTTCAGCAGTGAAGCCCTTGGGTCCTGGGCTTTTTTTTTTTTTTTTTTTTTTTTTTTATGGATACTTTTGATTATTGATTCAGTTTCTCAATGTTATTGGTCTGTTCAGACTTGCTATTTCTTCATAGTTCAATCTTGATATATTGAGTCTAAGAATTTATTTATTTCTTCTTGTTACCCAATTTGTTGGCATATAATTATTCATTATAGCCTCTTATTAAACTTTATATTTCGGTGGTATCAGTTGTATCATTTTTCGTTTCTGATTTTATTTGAGTCTTTGTCTCTTAGTCTGACTAAAGATTTGTCAATTTTGTTTATCTCCCCCCCCAAAAAAAATCCCAACCTTTTGTTTTATTGACTGTGTGTATTTCTTTAGACTCTAGTTCATTTA